TGGTGCTAGGAAAACACAAACCAAGAAGAAAGGCGTCAACGTGTTGATACCTCCTTCTTGCGTTTGTGCAGCGAGCCTCGAGCGTTTTCCTGTTTTTCTTTTTGAAACCATTTTCTTGCCACCTGCATGAGTATTCGTTGGGAAAACGGTTTTGGGGAAAATTTCCACTTATTTTCCTGAAACATGTTGATGTGGTTGTGTTCCGTGCTTGACGCTCAAGGGTGGAAATTTTCTCTCCCACCCACCATCCCCCACGGGGCACCGAGGCACACGCAACCTCACTCGTTACAGCTTTCGCCCTGATGTGAAAACATTCCAGTCCGTGCTGCTTCTGTTGCGCAAATTTTGATACATACATCCTTCTGTCAATACTTGATTGGAATGATGTAAAATTTTTTTATATTTGGAAAATACGATTGTGGAAATATCGTTTCCCTGGAGCTTCCCTTTTACTCATGCTTCGGTGGTGCTAGGAAAACACAAGCCAAGAAAAGACACTCCCCGGACACTAAAGGAAAGTGCATTTGGAGATGTAGAACAGTCGCCCTGCCGGAGCTTCATGAGTCAGGTCCATGAGAAGCCTGTTACTATACCCGCTTTCTCAGATTCCATTTACCCACATGACAGCAGGTCCATCAACAGTGCGATGTTGTTGAATTTCTTCAGTTTCTACTGTAGCTGTGCCTGGGGTGCAAGGATCATCCTGGATGGAATCTGTGCGTCAGAATTAGAGGCCATCCGATGAACATGTTGTAAGCCTGGCCGCTAGGACTTTCTTCAAGAAGTTGGTTCTGTTCTTAGCAATGACAGCCGTGTGCAGTGAGTACTTTGAAGATGGCATCTTTAGTCCAGTCCGACAGTCCGACAGAAGGTCACCGTCGATGGGTGGACCACTGTAAGCTTTCCTTCGGGGGCCAGAGATGCATCCTTGAATATTTTTGAAGATCTATGACCTGCAAATGTGTTAGAAAGGAAGAAAGACCCATCGGAAGCTTCGCCAGAAAGGTTCCAGGAACAACCCTCTAGAGAAGGGCCTAAAACCTAATGGCGAGTAGATGGCAAGGCGGCGCAATGACACGCAGAATTTCAGGCTGCAGGCGGAATTGTGATTTGACCTATCGGGTCGGAATCCGAGAGACAGGACAGGCGGAGAATAGGACTAAACTAAATTCAGCCCAAGGACCACTTAAGCTTTTGATTGCTACAGGATTCAACAATTCAGAACTTGCCTGTCTCAGGCGCTTGTTTTGGAGCCACGCACTCCTAGCACTTGAAAGCAGAGGGATTGATACGTCATCGGCATTCCACGGCCAGTGGAAAGGATGCCATGTAACAACTGACTGCGGCATTTAATCCCGTTGGCTTGTCTTTCCCTTCAGTTGCATGGGTGGAAAGGATCCCCAATGAATTCTACCCATCGGACGCCCCCTCCGGGGAAGATCAGCCGAATGCGTCGAAGCTCTATCGGGAGTGTATGCTGGAAGAATAGGCATGCCTGAGAAGGTGCTGTGCGATTAAGTCGTCCATGGGCTGACGACCTCCCGCCCGCGGCTACTGGTGCCTTTTGACTCTCTTAACTTAACTAGTGGCCGGTGGACGGGGCAACCGAGGCATTGCATCAAACGGCATTGATCACACCCCGATGGAAAAAGTTGAACCGCCTTTGCTGTTGTGCATTGGTTTCTGCTGCGAACATGTGATTACATTCAGTCGCTGAGATGAGTGAGTGAATTTTGATTGATGCATTTTTTCCCCTTGCCAAATATTCGGATTAATGTGGCATGCGATTTGACAAAACTCTGTCAAACACCTTTTCGCTTTCTGCGTGGTGTGGGCACACGGGAAACACAAAAAACAAAAAATGTTCCTGTGGCGTGGGTTCAAGCCAGCAGAGACACTTGTGCTCACCCACCCACCGCACCCTACAGACAATGCATTTGCGCCAGCACGCATTGCTCAAGTCCACAAAATACAACACGCATTTTCCGTAGCACGCATTGCACAGCAAAGCATTGCATCCAATAACGATCGCAACGCAATAACTCAGTTTCACACAGTTTCACACAGTTTCACAGGGGGTAATACGAGGTTCCTCTGACGCACGTACATTCCCGAGCATCTCGTGCCAAAGAAAATGTGCGTTTGCTTTAGCTTGTTGCTGGTTGTCACACGCATAAGGAACATGCGTTGAACTATGCTTGACAAAGTTGATTTGAGGAATATGTTGATTGAATGCTATTTTTCTGACCGGAAAATGCTGGTGTTTGTTGACAGCAAATAAGACTATTGTCAATCGTGATTGGTAAGTCTCTATTTGCGTCAACAGATTTTGTGATGTTTTTGAAAAAATCACTCAGCATTTTCTTATTGCAAGACCTTCTGATTGTGAGTTGTCGCAAGACATGTTTTATGTAACCATTTGGCTGGGAGGGCGGTGGGAACCCCTTTGAAATTGAAGCATTACACATGTTCCAGTTTTGCCCATCCACCCACCCTATGAAATTTCCTGATGAACTTTATAGTCCATAAATTTTGAGAAGGCATCTTCCCGAATTGATTCTATACTTGACAAAGTTGATTTGAGAAATATGTTGAGTGAATACAGTTGACAGCACATAAACAAAACTTGGCGGTCGTCTCTGGGCCGCTTGGGCCATGCTGTTCCAGCCTGGGGCATGCATGGATTTTAGGCGTAGCCAGTTCCCATACCACATCCGTGGAAGAGCATAGGTTTGTGGCTTGCAATTCCCACATCCGTGGATGACCGTAGCTACTAGTTTTGGAGTTGTTGCGCTATTCAGGAACGTAGTTTTGCTGGTTGAGGGGGGCCAGAGCTGTAGCCCAGCCTCCTGCTACTTCAGCATGAGTCTGCACTAAGCTTGCATCTCCACCATGCCGAAAAACTACGTGTGCATTCTTGTGATGGCATTTTTGAATACCGATGATGAATTATATTCTTGACTGCGTAAATTTTGGATAGCAGGCCTTGTGATACCTATGTGGCTGTGGATGGATGTAGAACCCAGTCGATCTGCTTCCTCTCGTGCTCGCTGGCCTTTCGCATCGCCCTCCTGTAGGTGTTGTCGTCTTTCTTCACATCTCTAAAGTGCTTTGCTGCGACACGCAATTGTTCGTCAATCTTGTCAAAAAATCTGCATCAGGCTTCTTGCCAAAGATCAGGCGGTGTTTCTTTGTCTGCAGCTTCACCAAAACTGACCTCAGCTTCTGGGACGAAATCACCCGTTGTTTGCAACTTTCAACAAACCGATGAAAAGTTGGACCGTGTGGTCCTTGGCCAACCATCTGACATCAGCGGCAGTCTTCCAGGTCATATTGTTATTGTCAAGGCCGCAGAAGCGACCGAGGTCCCATGTCCCGACTTCAGGCCACATGGTTTCCGGTGGTCACATGAAATCCCAAACGCCTACAGATGGGTCTGGTCGAGACCTGGCCATGGCTCACACACAGTGGAAAGGCAAATGTTCTGCTCTGAAGCACGGTTATGTGGTAGCTTGTGAGTATATGCAGCAGTGCTTCTGATGCTTCAGCCGTTCTCACCTATTAGCAATGTGCATCATGGCCTCTCGTTCGTGATGACTGAGCCATGTTCGTGTTGAATGCGTTGAGCAAATCCTGACGCTTCGCTTTGGCCATGATATGGCAACTGCAGCCAATGACCATGCGACAGAACATAAGGTCTGGTCCTTGACTTGGCGTTTTTTTGGCCGCCCCGCCCCACCCCCCCCGGAAACACAAGACAACCATGAACATAAAATAAAACGCAAGCTGAATCCATAGGCAGAATAACCATGCACCATACACAAGTAAATAAATTTCAACAACACAGAAGCCGAATGCATGGGCAGAATAACCATGCATCACACACACAAGTAAATAAAGATCCGTGTCGCATCACATCAGCAAACTCTTTGACCATGATTCTGGCACAGGCCAGGCAGCTGGATTTCATTCGCAAAATGTGAAACAAGACATCAAATCAGTCGTTTCAAATTGTTGAAAGATGCATCCAAAATAGTTACTTTCCTTTTGCATATTATTCACGCTCAACCTGACTCCCAAATTGATTATCAACATTGACGATTCGTCAATTTATGTTGCATCAATCAGGAATGTAAATCTGAGATATTGGTCAGGAAATTGCATAAGCCGATCTATGGTCTATTGGGTAGTCCAGAATTCAACGCGATGTGGCAGCGAACCACGCAGTGACAGCGGACATGTCCGAATGGATGCTCGAAACCAAGCTTGATTTTTCTTCGCGTTCGCATTTGGCTTTTGCATTTTGTACAAACCGCAACAGTTAGTCGGTGAGCCAGTTGACCTTTAAATTGCGTTATCAGGTGGCTTTGTTGGGGCACAGGTTCACAGGCCCTTGTCGTTGCTCTTGTTGTTGTTGTCGTTGGTGCTGCTTTTGCCACCACTGTCCTGTGGTCCCAGATATCCATGTTGAAGATTTACAACACGGGCATTCTGAATTTCGCGCATTTCACGTGCCGCGGCGCATTGGTTCAACAATCGTCCATTGAAGGGAAATTGATGCAAATTGCGAAAACGCAAGTTATGTCAGGTTTGTCATCTAATTTCGTTTCGTCCCCCGCACTAATTTCATTGAGCATGCCCTGGAGTTGTACAACTGGTGTGTGACGTTCAATCGGCTCAAGTGCAGTGGGTGCATTGGAGACAAGTGCAGGTCGTTGAGTTGTTGTGACTCAGACCTTCTGTTCCGAAGGTGCGGTGCAGCGCAGCAGCAAGGTTTCATTTGCAGCGATGTCATGGTTCTTGGGGTGCAGTTTCCTGCATTCGGGAGGCCTGTCTTCAAGCTACTCAGTGATATCGTCTGAAGGAAGGAAGCAGGCCCAGGGTTCAGCGTTCTTTTTGTTTTTGAAGTATTGAGGAGTGCATTGTTTTCAATCGCAAGCTCGTTGCATAAGCGAAAGTTGCCCGAGCTTCCAGTCCCTGAACCTCGACACAGGTACAGCATGGCCCGGTCCGTTTCTCTGTCAGACGCCTCCAACACTGCTTTCGGCTGAGTGCACGCATGTGTTGCAGCCAACGTGATCATTCATGTCGGCGTCAGAGCATAGCCGTCAAACGGTTGTTCCCATTACATTCTGCCGCGTAGTTGCAGGCCTCACACTTGCGTCGGTTTTACAGATTTTGTGAATGATAGCTCCAGACTGAAGTTGTGCAGGTCGATTGAGGCAAGCCATGCAATGGATGGAACGACATGGGTTGAGCAGATTGTCATGTTCTCTGTATCAAAGGTTGCAGTCCACTTCCAGGCGGACTGTCCCAGGCCTTTTCAGCACTGGGAATGCAAGACATTCAGAACAAATGCAGACTTCAGATCCTGCCACAACCCGGCCTCGAGCTCACCCTCTAAGGCTGAAAGGGTCTAAGGAACCTTTGTTCAGCTCCGGCCCAACATGTGCTTTTGCGGTACAATGTCCATTCGCCAAACGAAGTACAGCTTGCAACTTCCAAGGCCTTGAAGGTGACTTAGGAAATTTATGTCGGCACCAGCTTCGGGTGTGAGGATGAGGGTGGGGGAAGGGGCACGAGCCCGTGGACCTGGCCAAGTCTTCATCGGAGGGGTGACGCACCATATTGCGTTGGGTTGGGGAGGTGAGGGAAAGAAAAAATCCCTGTGAGGAATGTCCTATCCAGCCGCAAGTAGTCCTGAGACTTCTGCAAGAACGATGACTGATTTGATGCTCCCTGGAGTTTCGGCCCCAACATTGTGCAGGAATCTTGACGAGGCGACTGCGTTGTTTTCGAGGCGTGCTTGGTGGCGCATGCCAGTTAGTCAGTATGAGAGTCCCACTTTCGCAGATTCATTAGGAAGCCTTACAGCACAACAGCTGCATCTGCAAGTTGAAGCTTATGCGAAGAAGAGCAGAGTGCAGGTAAGTAGCCCTTCAGCACTGAACAAGTCCTACAGCAGGTTCCCACTGCACATACTTGGGCCCCCAATGAAATTTTGGTCAGGTTTGGTGACATTGCTCGCCTTGACACCACCTTGGGCACCAGCCCCAGGAGAATGCCCGCAGCGCTGCTGGCACATGCCCCACGGTCTCTGGTTGTGCTTCTTTCGGTTTGAGGGTTTGCAGTTGTGAGGTGCCGTCACCGGATTGGTGTTCGTGACGTTCTTCGACGTGAGGGTTGCACAGAAGGCTGAGACGGTCTTTGCTGCACACTTGACTGGAAGCCTGGTGTTCCATGGGATGGACAAGAATACTGCGGATGTCAGGTCCTCCAGCACTTCGGTGCTTTGGCAGAGCCTTTTCAGCCAGCTGCGTACGACTTTCGGGCTAATGCCTTAGCATTGGTGCCGCAGCTGATTTGTGACCTTTGCTTCGGGCGTCGTGGAGCTGCGCATGCCACTCTGTTGCCATGCTTAGCATGTCATCCAGTCACAGAATGGGCACTGGCTTCCTGGTGGTTGTGCAGGCCGTGAGCATTGCTCCGCATGTTGTTGCGGATCTGCCTGTGCCTTGTATGCAAGCAGACCATCCGCTTGCCATGTCATGCTTGGCGTTCCATTGCAATACACTAGACAGACACTGCAGTATTCTCTATGTCCTGAGCTTTAAATTGGGCCGTATTCTTTTTGTTGTTATCGTTGGGAAGTTCGAGCTTGCAAGCAAGCTTGAGCGACCCTGGCCAAGTGCTTTTCCTACTACATCTGGTATGGTTTGCTTGTGTGTCCAAGCCATTCAGGACCAGTTTGGTCAACTTCACAGCTTTGGCGAGATTGCTGGTGTTTCGCTATGCGGAGAGGACTCGAATTGAATTGCTGTAAGGTTTGCTCTTCCTTGCATCACCTATAGCCTACAGAGGGTTGGCTGTTGTTCAAGATGATGACGAATGCGGAAGTGCATCGCAAACTAATGTTCAGGACTTTTCGAGCAACATGTCAACCTCTTAGCCGAAGCTAGCTGACCAAGTGCACCAGAACAGAATAGTAGCTTACTGTGCAATAGTCACTGCGGGTGTAGTTGCCTTGTGTACATTTGTATGAGAACTATTCCGTTCGCGCAATTTGCTTCTTTCCTACCACACCTCGGTACTCTCTGACGCTCTTTCAATCACGTCTTTGTCGATTGCCCCTCAACTCTTTTGTTGCAGGGGTGGTGAGGAAAATGAAAGACGCTGCAGCATGAGTGGGTGTGGTCAGGGACGAGGATGGACCACAATGGGCAGATGCCGCTAGAAGAAGCAAACGTGTTGGAAAGGGGGCAGCCCAAATCAACATCCAACGTGGCTTTGACGAGCCAGCAAACCAGCGGTCAAGACATCCTGAACTTATGTCGTGTCATGCCAACTAAAGTCCTGGTAAGGCCATGGGCCGTCATTGCCACAAGCAGCCCAAGCAGCCTGAACCACCTGGACCTATAGCAGGAGATCGTCGTCGAGTTCTACGACATGCGCGCAGCTCAACAGGACGGGCTGAGTGGCTGAATTCACTGTGGTCAGCTGGGCGGGAGTCAATTTGCAAGCCGAGCTGATGCAAGTTGTGGCAGGTCACCTTCTTTGTTCCGGCCAGCAGGCCACGTCGACAGGTGAGCCAGCAGCGAGCTCAATCCTGTTTAAGAGGTGACGTGATTAGCATGAGAAGGCAAGGTCCTCCGAAGGGCGCATGGGCTTTCAAGCAAACGGTGAGATGCCGATTGAACACAGAGTCACAGCTGACACTGCATGCATTTCCGGATGTTCCTTCTTGAGGAATGCCGGGCAGAGCCAGGGACAAGCACAGGGACAAACCAGCCAGATCCCTGCCACCCTGCTGCAGAGATGTTTGCCCTTTGCTCGCCCAGTATGTAGGCTTGCAGCAGTATTCCAAATGCAGGCTTGAAAGTGCATTCTTGTGGTGTCTGTCAGTGCGGTTATGTCACGGCACCACATCATACTTGTCATCAATGGCTCAAAGGCTGTCACAGCTCTTACTTCTGCATTCATGTTTGCTGAGGAAGGACAGAAGGTTGAGTTGAGTCTCTACGCTTTGTACAGATCCATGCTGGTACAAAGGATAGTGAAAACTTGGGAAGCCCAAATGCATGCATCTGCCAGGTGCCACGGAGTCCGCTTTCAACTGACTGGGTGCAGGACAAATCGCTTTTGTGTTTGCGCATGTTTGCGGTGATCCAAGGGAGTTCTGTATCCAGGTGTAGGATCGAACTATGCTGCTTACCTCGTTGTTCCATCCTGGAGGAGACTTTGAGTGCCTCGAAGGCCTTTTCCTTGCAGGGGGCCCGCATCTCAGCTTGGCTCCATGTATGCTGTACTTCTGGACATTATGACACTTTTCATGTTGTCGTTCTTCCTTCGCTTTCGCTTTGTCAGCCAATGGCTGCAAGACCTTGGAGCACTCATATGGGTGGGAGGGCATAAACACTGCGTAAACAAGTTGTGCTTTGGAGCTGGCCTGCTGCCCCTATCTTCAGCAACATGTTGGAAGCTAACACTTCAGTGCGCTCTCCCGAGTGGCTGAAACCTCTGACGGTGTTTTTGTAAAGTCATTTTCTGGTAGTGCAGGGCAACCCTTTTCCTCTGAAGCCATCGTCTGCATGGCACGTTTGTGACTTCTTCTCGAACAGAGTTCAGGACGACCGTGTTAGAGATTCAAGTTCCCCTTGAACCCTGGTGGATCTCTCTCGAGGCCGTCCCCGCATCAGTTCCACTGACCGGCAAGGAAAGTGGTACCCTGAGAAGTCCCGGTTATGCCATTGGGCTTTTTCGCACCATGTGTGCAAGTTTCGGAATCAACTTGCCAGATTCAGCACGCTTCTTTGTGCAAGCACTGCAGCGTCTGGAACAGCTACACGCTGTTGCCGCTGATCCAAGGCGAGCCTCCGACCAGCCCGCCTGCAAAGGGCGGACCCAAATGGCAAGGCCCCTTGCACCCGCGTGCAGCTCGAATGCTGAGGATGCTTCAGGTGAAAGATGTTTCCATCTCAGTTGTCCAACAACGCAAGCTCCAAGACGGGCAGACCCAAGACCCCAGTGATCAATTCCTCTTGGTGGAAGGCCCTGGCAAGCCTGTGCGTGAGAAGGTGAAAATGGAGGATGCAGGGTTCTGAACAAGCTAGCCTTGCGTTTTTGAAGCTGAAATGGTCAACGGCCTCGAGTATTTGTGTGGTTCGCGAGTTGCTGAATTTCGGAGACTGTAGCGGCAGTCGGAGATCGCAACAAAGATTGTCATTCAGTGTGAAATTTGAACGGCCAGATCTCCATCGTGCGGTATTGCGGCTCATAGTTCATGCCGGTAGCGTTTGACTCCTCTGCAGTCAAGGGAAGTAGTGCTTGGGGTCAAACGCCCCTCCGCCACAGCAGGATCTTTTGAAGTTTGACATCATCCCTGAGAAGATCCAATCCGGCGAGGACACGCGAACAACAGCGACGTCCCCAGAGTGGATTTGCTTTAGCCAATGGACAAGGGTTGTGAGCCTTGGGGCCTGGGCCAATTTAATTTGGATGACACATTGCTGGTTGAAATGGTCCGTCCTGGCTGGCATGTCTGACATTTATGGCTTCCTTCTGTTATCCTTGCGCATGAAGCTTCCAGCACTTGTCAAGCTTATAAGCCACATGCCTCTGCAAGATTGCTGAGGTGATGGTGAGGAACATTCCAAAGGCAGGGCAACATGTCTATTCGCCACTGCATGCAATCGGTCACAGATATCTCCCGCGCGAGGGCTTACCCACACCTGACAATGGAACTGCTTTGAAGGCATGCAGCCGAGAGGCGTTCGTGGAGCTGCTGAGTCCTTGTGGCCTGTCAGACAGGCCTTGGCTGATATCACAAGTGGCAGCTGCAATGATAGAGTCTAGAGCCTGCAGCTTGGAGCCGTAGGCTGCAGCTTCCCCTTGCGCTGCAGGTACACCTTCTTCTACATGCCCTTCGACAAGCGCCGCAACATGCACTGTGGCTTTGCATTCATCAATTTCAGGCCTCGGAACCAAGAGTGTATGCTGCTTGCACCTTTGACCTGTGGTGGTGGTGGTGGTGGTGGTGGTGGTGGTGGTGGTGGTGGTGGTGGTGGCGGTTGCAGATTCTGGAGGGGTGCGTGTCTGCTCCAGGACTCCCAGTGACGTGCTCGTCCTCTGCCAGCGTATGACGCAGGGTACCCAGGATGTTTCATCGTGGCTTGTATCTCATTTGGAGGTGGTAGTTGCAGTCCGGAGCCTTGCCAGGATGGGACATTTTTCTTCTCATTCTGGCTCCAGGTATCAGGTGGAAGTGAAAAAGGTTTACATCCAGGTCTAGAATTCAGGAGGTACTAGTACAGATCTCAGAAAAGTAGGCGAGATCCTGTTGTGCTGTTCTTGGTCGGAAGCCCACGAATCACAGGCCATCTTTCTGGAGAGCTTATCTGAAGCGGGGCCATGTGACAGCCCAGAGCTCAGCCACAAGGTAGCGTAACAGCGGCAGCCTTCAAGCGTTCCCGCCTGCAAGTAGCTTTTGCCAAGCAAAAGTGGGCCTTGAAGGCCTCGACACTTCCCGCAGTGAGCTATGCCCGTTTGCAAGGGCAGGCAGGGCTCAACAGCTTTTTGGGTGTGCCGTCATGTCATGGGGCACATTGTGGATGTAGAGCTTAGACCAGACACGGGGAGGCAACTCAAAACGTTGCTGCTCATGCTGAGCCTGAGCAGGAGCAGTTGACGAAGCACTTCAGTCTGTCGGCCGTGATGCGTGACAGCGATGTGGAAACCTCGGCAGTTGTGTTCAAAGACCAACTTCATTGTAAGCACGTCCATGCTAAGCACGTTGACCCTGCCATGGAACCGCATTTTTTTTTTTGGACCGATGGGGCTAGGCCTGGTTGGGAGCAATTAGGCCCAAAGCCCACAAAGCTGCAAAGCCCAGATAGAGCCCTGCAGCCCTTTAAGCAACACCAGAATGAATACGATGGGAATCGTGCCGGCCGGCAGGCAGCAACAAGATTTTGTTACCAAGAATTCAATAGCCAGGTCTAGGTTGAGCTTTGGGGGTCAAACCTTTTGTGCTGAATGCCTGACCAACGATGCAGGAGTAAGTTCACAGGGGCTAGTACTGTTTCAGATGCCGCTGAGTTGGCATGTGCGTTGTTCAAGGACTCTGCTAGGCAATGGAACTGTTGGTCCAGGCGATTTATCATGGTTCTGCTCGCAAGCGTCCTTCCTGGCCCCATGACCCCAGAGCATTCCTCCCCGACAGAGGCGCGCAAGCGCCCGGTTTTCTGCCAGAAGAACAACAACGTCCATTGCGAGGAGGCACCGGCCGATGCTTTCATGGCAGAGTCGGATGATGACGCTGTTCTCAAAATGCCTGCCAACAATGAGGAAGAACCACAAACCAAGTACTGAAAGATCTTTGTCCTTGCGTCTGCCTTGGCAATTTCTTCGTCAACAAAGGAACTTATGAAGATGCGTTCGACTTGTAAGCTTCTGTATGACTTTGAATATTCAGCTGCTGTGCCCAGTCCTGCAGAAGGCTGAGCTTGGTCACATCACGGACATTGCTGACCTTCAGCCTGGGCCTGTTCTGAAACTTTCTTTTTGCTGTGTCTTTGCATTATTCTGCACTCAATTCTCTAGAATGTTTTGGCATGGGTGATCCAGAAGTCTTGTTTGTTCGTGGAGAAGGCCTGGGGCTTGTTTCTTCGCGGTGCAACTGATATGATTTATTCAAATCCGCGACATGGAGCTCTCCTCTGCACGTGGTCAAAAACGTCTGGAAAAGTCAGTGGAAACAATGCATTAGCTTTGCAGGTGAAGTACCTGTACAGTATGCTGCTGCACCGCTTCCTTTTCGTTCAGCTCTAAAATGCAAGACTGATTCAATGGATCAATCTGAGGCCGTGTTACGTATCGACCAGCGGTGTTGAGGCCTGCTTCTGTTGGAATGCCTGCAGAAGTTTTACTGTGAGCTTCGCATTCGCCACTATGTACCATTGCCAGGACATGGACTTCTCGGAAAAGGATCCTTCCTTCATTCTCTATCAGCAGCACATTTTTCATGAAACGTCTTGCAACGAGCTTCTCCTGCTAAATGTGCCTGCATCATGCAGCTGCCCTTCAAGCTGTAAAGCGAAGCCTATGTGTGAAGGACCTTCTCAGCTTTGACCTTATCGGCGGCCCTGAGAGTGCCTTGGCATGCTACTGCAAAGCAATTTGCTGGTTTCAGCCTTTGTGATGCTGGCATCCTACACGAGGGCATGCTGAACTGCAGCTCAAATTGGTGCTAGTGGGAGGTGGCACTGGCAGTACCCGAGGCATTGCTTTCCTCTTGGGCGGAGGGCAAGGTGCCTAGGGGGCATGAGCACCCTGAAGCCTCGAGCGATGAGGACGGCTGCTCGCGTGATCTTATGTGAAAAGCTTAAGAGTGACAGCAATGTAGAATGTTCGCTGACCGCTGCAGGAGGCTTCGTATTGAGGAGTTCTGTATCCTGAGCTTCCATCTGAACAGATCAGCTTTTGGAAGCACATGGCTCAATTTCAGGTGTGCGTATTTGACTCAGGCTCAATGCCTCTTCGTAAGTGTATCCAGGTGCCCCCCGATAGGGTGAAGCCTTTCTGCACATCCTTGATTTTCTCTCATCAGTTTTTGACCGCTGTCAACGTGCAGTTCTTCTTTGCCAAGAAAGTACTTCATAGTCCGGTTTCCCAGCAGAAGAGGAGTGCGAGTAAGCAATGGCCTCACAGGCGGCATGTAGGGCGCATTGGCAGAACTGAAGCTTCTGATGTAGCACAAGCCAGCCGAAATTGTACTCGTGAGCCGAGTGTTTCCCAGAGCGTAGAGCTGGTGTGTACTGCGCAGAAGGCTGAGCCCAACCCCACAGCACAGCCAACAACGGGCAATCTCTGAGAAGAGAGTTGTACAACCATATTCCTGGTACGAAGCAGCTTCTGTGGGATCGGGCAGTGGCCAAGTCATACACCGGACTGTTTCCAACAGCAAGCTGGGTTCTTAGAATGAAAGCATCTACTTACAGGTGTGCACTTTAAGTCCTTATCGCTTAAAAACCCCATATACACAAGACCTGATGGGCCTGCTTCACCCCGCTGATGTCACAGTGACTGCACATTCTGCCGCAATGCAGCTCTTAGCTTATATTGCAATAGGTGGATCCCACTGCATCAAGCCCAACCCAAGTCCTGCTACAACTTAGATGAGACTCCAGGACCCAGGATGCTGATGTGAGGCTAGCATGGCCATGCCGATGGCAGACTTGACGCAACTTCACAGGAGGGACCAACTCAGGCTTTGTCCATGAAGATGTTTACCTACAATTTCCAAGTTTGTTGAGACGACACACACAAAGGATGATTCATAGAGACACTGTTCCAATGTAGTTACATAGCGAAACACCAGACTCAGAAGCGCTCTCCATGTACACTGCGTCTCAGCCGTAAGGGCATGGGGCTCGAGAGAGCTTGGGCCCCACACTTGCCTCAGCACGGGTTACGACTTAACGAGATTCAGCTTACTTAGTGCATGTACCCCTAGGATTCTGAGGATGCTGAGGCTTGCTCTCATTCGGGTCTGTGGACCCTTGGCCTTAGGCTGCTGGCGCAGCCCTCTCGAGCAACATCAATGCTCAGTGGCAGCCAAACCTGCTGCGACTGTGAGATTTCTCCAGTGACAGTTGACCGTGGCAGTTGCCTCACCAGAGACCAGCAACTGCTAGGGTGGAGGGCAGGGCCGCCTTGATGGGCTCGTTCATAAATTGTGTCGCTTTCTGTCTTCAATGATGGAATGTCAGCTGAGCTATGTTTCAGGAGCCACGTTTCAGAAAGTATTGGCCAATGCCTGGTCAGACTAGCAGACTTGTATACCTAAACGAGGTCTGGGTCAATATAGGTCGAGTTACAAAAATCACGAGTGAGAGACGGTAAAGTGAGTATTTGCATAGCCCTCGCAGCCCTGGTGCCCCACCCTTGTCAGAGTACAGGGAGTGAGGTTGAGGTGTACGTTCTAAGGGAAGTTGAGCTGGACCTGAGACGCTGGAGTTTGATCCCGACAGCACTTAGAGCCCCTTTCCGCGCTTAGCATGCTGTTCTGTGCGCTCAGGATGCTGGCTTAGCTTTCCCTTGAGTTTGCCTGTGTGCGAATTTCGTTCGTTCCAGGGGCTCGAATGGCCGTTCGACCAGCGAGCTGACAGTTTTCTTGTAGCTCTTGGGGCGGGACAGAGCTGCCCTGCAAAGGGCGCTGGGCTTGCATAGCGATCCCTTCCGGCATCTCCAAATTTCAGGACAAGCCTGGGCCCAGCTGCAGAGGCAGAAACACCCGAAGGCCCAACTCTCCAACTAGTTTCAGCTTACCAGGCGTTCTGCCTACGTAAGCTTGGTTTCAATCCATGCCAATGCTGCTTGCGGAATCTCCTGGTCCGGGCCTTAATTCACTGCCGGACTTCCTGAAAAATATTGGTCGGAGGGCTATGGTCCCTGCAACTCTGGAGAGTTTGATGCAGCCACAGGCCATTTCTGGAAACGGCGCTCAGCCGCCACGGGCCAAATATCTTCGGCTAAGAGGCTGGTCAGCTACTACCGCCACTACCACCACTACTACCACTGCTGCTACTACTGCTGCTACTTCTGTTAGTGCTGCTACTATTACTACTCTGGCCAGGTCGGTGCAGACCCTCGGCCGGTCCGTGGCATGGCCAAGGGGTGATCGGCAAGCAGCTTAGGTTTGTCGGCATGGGGGGATGGTTGGGGGATGAAGCCATTTTGCCCTTCGCATCTGTTGGTTCCGTGCCCCCCAAGCTGCACACTTTGATTCCTTCAAAGGGTCATGTGGTCGTGACTGGAATGCTCCATGGGCAGTTCTCACTGCAGACTAATCTTCAGGATCAGGGCTTTCCCGAGCATAGTTCGGGTATGGTATGGGTGTGGCTCAGGCAGGGAATGGCAGGCGGCAGTGGGCAAGACCTCCAGAAGTAACTTTACTTTCACGCATCAGGTTCTGTTCTTTGGAGCTGGACGGTTCATTTTCTAGCTTTGCATGCATTAAGGGGCGCAGTCATCACATTTCTTGCAAATTAATGCCACCAATATTCAAAGCTTCAGAACCCCCGTATGAAACTATGAAACGCAATGAGCTATGAAGCGAATGTCTAAGAGTAATGACTTCTGGGTTATTTTCCTGATGGAGTTAGCCAGAAAAAACGTAGATGATTGTCCTCCTAGTTCCTGTGCTCAGTGCAGCTGCCGTTTTGCTATTGAAATGTAGTCTTGAAGCAAATCGCAGAATATCTAGCGCCCCAGAAACGGGAGAGTGTTGGTGATTCGTGCATGTCTCTGGCAAGTTAAAGGAAGCCCGCAGAGCATTGTGACCAGATCGAAATGAGCTTCTCGCTCCCTTTCCTTGCGCGTGCTGATGCCGCTTGTCGAATTCGGAGTGTACCCTGCATGCAGGTCACTGATTCACCGGGTCTAGGGGCAGAATTACTTGAGACTGGAGCCCTCAGACGCCTGGACAAATCGGTGGTCGCCCTGTTGATAGTTTGCACTTAACAGGCGCAAGCCAACTGCTCGCTTGTGCCCCTCAATATTATGTATCCAGAGAGTCACGTTGGTTGGCAAAGGGACGTGGTATGCCAGTTCTTAGCTTGTGTATGCATAGATCATGTTGGGATGAAATGTCTTCATAGCTAGACGTCGAGTACCGGCCAACCGACCTGTGCTCTGTGCTGCAAAGCGTTGCTGACCCGCAGCTTTACGATATGAGTGTGCCGGGCGCCCAGCTGTTTCAAGAATCGAAGAAGCCTCGTCTGTATGGCATTGAGGGTTCTGGACTGATGGACTTTCATTAGCTTTTCAACGTTAATAGCTATGTTTGAAGTACATGTACGTCCGCAATAGAGCTGTCTGAAGAATATCGCTCTCTTGAGGTAAACATGCCTGTCAGCTGAGGATCGCCATTGTAGCCTTTGAGGTGGTGGACGAGTCCAGGTGTGCCGCTCAAGAGTTCATGCTGTTCAGGGAGTCCTTGCTGACTTTTATCCTACCATCCGACGCAGGCAGTGTGACCTCTGGATTTGCTGGATTCTGGCACAGGCTGGGCTGAGCTGAGCTGTGTTGTCACAAACGCAAGCAGCTATAGGCTTAAGTTTAGTCTTGCTGTAGTCGTAGTAGCATTCAAGGTTTGGAAAACGGCGTATCGTGTGATATATCACAGCATGGGGCAGGGGGGTGGGGGGGGGGAACATAGTCCTTTCAGCGAAC